TAACAGGTTATCCAAGGAGCTAGGAGAGATGAAATAACACAAGAGACTCAAGAAGGGACGCAAACATGACACAGACTTTAGAAGAACATTGGGCTTAAGCCACATTTTCCAAACCCCTTGAATGGTATCTTAGGAACACTAGAAGCCATAACTCTAGTTCTAAGTCAGTCACTGTGAAATGTGCTCTTCCCCAAGCCAATTGCCTTGTTTTCTGCTACTATGGAGCTCTATTAAAATCTGCTGCTGCACAGCAACCAGGGGAGACCATTTGTGTTAACTACACACTACTTACCAAGTAACTATGCAGCAACATGGACAGACTCGCAAGGAATGCTATCACATTTAGGCAAGGGAAATCAAGGTGGGACTGAATGACTCAGCCAGGGTAAATGACTCACATTCCTCTGAACAAAAAGGCCTGACTATAGCAGGCAAAATCCATCAGGAATTTCCCATATGTTCAGCCCTGGTGAATTTCAGTGAACTGTAGTGGTTGAGTAAGATCACAGTTGCAATCTTGCTCAATTTCTATTCAGATAAATCTAATGGGGGTGAAGAAAACAATGCCAGGAGATTAGATGTCACCATTTTTACTGGATTGTACTTCTCTCAGGTATCAAAGGTAAATTTACTCTGCCACTTCCCATATAATAGCTTGGGAGTCTATATAACTCATTTTGCATATAGACGGCATGCCCTTGGATACTTGCTGTAGAACATTATCTCATGAGAGGTTTGATTCAGGCATCAAACTGAATTTTATCTTAGCATAAACAGGGAATGACTTCATGCAGCACTACTCAGTTGTCTCCCTTTGGCTCCTATCACTGGTGGAAACAGCTGAACAAACCACCAAATATTCATCTGTAATTTTTGCAGGGCTAACCAGCTTTTGGCCAACCACATGTTTCTGAATTATAATTCCTGCACCCCTGACCATCAGTCATACTAACACAGGATTGAATTCGGACAATGTCTGAAAGTCTAAAGGCTACTCATCTCTGATTCAATATAACATCATGATCAAAGCCACAAAATCCTAAGGAGCCAGAGTTTGAACCAAGGACAAAGCTGCTTATTTACACTAAGCTAGAATTAGAACAATTCTTACTCTGTGGTATCCAAATATAGTTCTTAAATGGTGCTTTTCTCTGTACCTATTGTCCCTGATACAACCATCAGTAGTTGAAGCATATACTTCATCTCCATGCATGTGATACAAACATACTAAATATCAACAATGGTGACTTCTGACATATATCCAGCGTGTAATAAATACTTCTCACATGCATAAGTAAGTGCACTATCTGCATATCTAGACAGCATATGAGAAGCCAAATACTAAAGTGCAGCCTATGATCTCATGGCTATATTAATAATGAATTAGCTCAAATTATGTCTAGCCAACACATGTGTTAAGGCACACACACATAATCTCAAATTCTGCATTGGGCCAATGAAAGCAATAATAAATGGGTGGAAAGATTTATTGGGACAAAAGACCAATATTTATGTGATCAAACTTAAATTAGTACATTCATTGAACAAATAAATAAATCTCTACATAAATCTGTAATTGACTAATGAGTAGGGGATAAACGTTATGATCCATCTCTGGAGGAGAAGAATCTAAATGTTTTTGGTGTCTTTCAAGATACTTTCCTACAGATTTAAATCCATAGGGGAAAATATAGAAATGTTTTGGGTCTCAGAGAGGCTGAGGAACTTATTTAGAGCTGTCTAACAAGTTAGCTTATGAGAACAAGGAACAGGACCTTACTAGTAGTCTCTCACTCGTGAATTGCTTCTGATTGTTATCTGCCACATTCTATCTTCAAGAGCCAAAAGGTGTCTTACAGATTATGTACAAATAAGTAAATAAACCCATAACAGGGTACAATTGAAAAGATTAAAAGGCCTTCACAATGTTTCCAAATCATAGAACTGATACCAGTCTCACCAGAAGAATATTACAACTGTGAAACCTCTAAACCAGGGGTGTCAAACTGCCGGCCCATGGGCCGGATGCGTCACGTGGAAGCCGCGCCCATCCCATTGCCAGCAATGGCAAAACAGTCCCGATACATTGCGTGATGTCACATGACGTCACGAGTTTGACATGTCTGCTCTAAACCAATTTTCATTTGCCTTATCCCAGACTAAAGAAGGATTCCCAAAAGTTATTCCAAAGTAATTTGCACTATCCAATCTGGAATATTTGCTGTTTTTTAAAAACTGGTATCAGTACTTTTTTTAGTCTTGAAATACCTTATAATCAAGAAGGTTTCATAAAGACCCTCTTCTTTTTGTCTCAGGCATCAATCTCAGGAGTTGTTAATCTGGGATCCAAATTAAGATTTCAGGAGTCTATGAACTTGGAAGGGAAATAAAAGGTACAACTTTATTGTCACAGACCTCTAAAATTTAGCATTACATTCAATGATGGATAGAGGCACCTAATTGATTTTTGGCTTCTAGACCCCCAAAGTATTTATTAATCTCTCTCTCTAAAAGTATATGAATTATTTTAAATACTTTGATACCTGTGTTTGAACATAATGGGTTTCTTTTCTAACACAATCCATGCTAGAGGAAATCAGAAAGAGCTACAGATTACAATTAAAGAACCCTTAACTTTGACTTACTAATACAGAATAAAGCAAAGTAATGGATACATTGAAGGATGTAGTAGAACCATGGACCCAGAAATTAATCTAAAAAGCTCCTGCCACTGCAAATAGACTGTGCCTAAAAGATGGTGTGGAAGAGGAACAAATTATTGGATTAAGACTGAGAATGATTTGAAAGTGGATTTAAAAATGACAGATTATTTGTATGATATGGAAAAAGATGCTATACTAAATATACAAATGAAACTAACTGAGTGGTCTTTGGTGTTCTCTGAGTTTGGTTGTTTTCTTGCAGACATTTCATTACTCAAACCAGGTAACATGATGTTATCTGATATGGGTAATGAAATGTCTTGCAAGAAAATAACCAAGATCAAACAGCACCAAGGATGCCTAATTTCAACCCTGAACTACAAATATTCTCCTTTATTGGAACCAGCTGATGTCTTAATAATTAAAAGGGATATATAAATAACAAACCAAAGGAGTGACCTGGATAACTTTCCTGTATTGGTTTACAAAAGAGACAGTTCTTAAGGAATTTGTGAGAAGGGTCAAAGGAAAATGAAAAGAAATCAAACTTTAGTACAATATTTCAAAGGATTAAAGATCAAGGTGGTTAAAAGTAAAAAGGACTATAAAGTAGGTTTATTTGATCAAGGTTACATAAATATGTTATCTCTGGTAATATTTAATGGGCTTTGGTTGACTAGAACTCAAGAATGAGATTTTAAGGATTAGTTTACAGATAAAGGATATGGGAAGAAGAGATTATTTGTTGTATTCTGATGAGTGATGTCACTAAAATTGTTTATACTTATGATGAAGAGAGAAGTCATTTCTTTATATATTTTTTGTATTATTTTTTCCTATTTTTCTCTTTCCTCACTTTCCATTTTTTCTTGTTATGCCTTTATTGTTTTGAGTTTGTATTAATCCTTGTCTTTTTAACGGCAATGTTCAATAAAATTATTATAAAAAGAAAGGAATTGTTGGGGAATGAAAAACTCTTTTAGTTATGATCACTGAGTAAAAGAAACCTGAGAGGATAGAGCGACATCGGAGGCAGGTGAGGGGAGCGGGAGCTTTTCCACAACTTGAACAATCCTTCGGGATTCCCTTAGCCTTATGGTCTGAATCCCCAAGGATTTCAAGGGGGCGGCGATTGTTTTGCAATGTTTTATTCAAGGGCTTCAACCAGCGAGACTGCCGCCTACCCCTTCGAGAATGTTTTTAGAAGTATCCAGGAGGTCTGGAATGTGCCTTAGGTTTAAGGTGACTGATGCCCCTGCCTCCGGCGGCGACGTCCGCCCTGCTATCTGAGGTTACCTCAGCGTGTCAGCTTCGGTTCCAGCAGCTTTGCAAAGGAGGCAACTCCAAGGCTGGAAGGAGCCAATTTGAACGAAGAAATGCCGCGAGAGATCGCTAGGCGGCGCATGATGGAAATGATCATCCACACATAGTAACCTCCGCGAATTGTCAAACATTGCCATGGTTAAAAGGGCCGGAGAGAGACAGTGATCAGGTAATGCGAGCCACAGACTTTTCCCCCCCTCCTCGTTGTTTCGGTTTTTCCGACTGCTTCTCATTTGCGAGGGTTTAATGCATACTGGCTGGGGTGGTGCGTTTGCTTGTTTTCCTCACCTTTCTTTTTGGAATGCATCCTTCGTGTTTCTTTTTCTTTGATTTTAATTCACATCCAGGCTGTTGAACCAGGTGGGCGTCCTTATGCATGAATGAAGCAAAGCTTTCTCCCGCCCTTCCTCCCCTTCTTTAAGAATAAAACAAAATTAAGCCTTAGAGTAGACTATAAATATCCTCCCATTTGCAGGCTGGAGTTGAGAGATTTTATAGCTTAAAGAACCGACTAGGAAAAACTGACGGAGAAAATACAGTGACTATAGTGGTCACACTTACTAAAGATCTAAAATGTAATGGGGGCTGTGAGTGTCATCTGGTTTCAGCAAGCAGTGGCTTTGCTTGGTTCTGTAAAATATATGTGGCAGATAGAGCTTAAAGGGGAAAAAGATTGAAAGAATAAAACCTTTACAGATATTTCAAATAAATTGAAACACATTTTCTACACTGTCCAGGATTTGCTTCACTCTATTGTAACACCTTAAGCTAAAAGTAGGCTGATAAATCCTCAATACATTTTTTATATTGCATGCAATGTATTTTTTTAAAAAATAGGATAATCTAAAATCTACAAATCATATTCTGTCTAAATTGAAATGTGATGGTTCTTATGCTTTTTTTTCTTTTTTCCAATCTCTGCTTTATATCAATTAGTTTGTATTTTTAACAAATGTGTTTAGGGTAGTGAGACTGCTTTAAAGATGAGAAAATCTGTTTATTTCCTTTTAAAAATTGCTTACATTTAATAATGCCATTTAGATCTTTCTTTAACATGGAGTCGTACATGCTGGAGATAAAATGCTACATTTCTATAAAGTTTGTGGTCTACGGCAATGCCACTCATCTGATAAATTTGATTAAATATTACAGGAGTGAACAGATTTTTGACAGTATTGTAGATTTGTATTTAAAGAGCTAATTCAGCACTGGCAGAAGCAGGAAAAAATTGGTGACCTTGGACCTCTTTTGAATGTAAAGGGGGAGGGGGAAGCAGCTCTCCCCTCTTTGTGGCACTGTGCTTAGGCCTGACAAAATAATCCTATACAAGACCATGTGATTCTATGTCATTCAGTTCTAAGAAAGACTTGAATCCTTCTTCCAAACTCAAGCAAAAATCTTCAAGTGTCTCTAGGAAAAAGCTTAACTCTTCATAAGTTTAGTGAAAAAACATGCACATTTCTACTTATTTTTGCTACATTATCATCCAAGGTAGAGAAAAAGATCCAACCTATTACAGTTTTAATTTTTTACCCACTGATTGTAACATAAAAAGATTATAATATAGCAACATTTTGGCTTTATCTTATACATTTGCTTTATAATGTTATGGAAGAAGGATGATCACTTTAACATATTATACTACTTACTTCTGAGTGACTTATGAAGATAAGGCTGTCTGAGCATTTTTCTTGCACAATTACTGCTGCTCTACAATACTGTCCCTCCCCCACACACACATACAAACTTCTCCTTGAAAATGATAGTGAAACAAGGCCAACATAAATCCTATTATTGCTACTTACTGAACCAAATCTATAAATCACAATAAACCATGAAGTCCAGAGTCATATAGGAATACTTTGAAATGTTGCAAAGCCATCTTTGGAACTGCTGTATCACTAACCATGAGGAAACAATATGAATACATTAGTCCTTTGTAGGAAGCTTTTACCATCAATCTATAGAGGTTGTGAAAGGTCCATTTCTGGAGATTTTGAAGAAACGATGGAACAGCCACCTCTTACAGATGATTTAATTGGTTTTCCTGTATATTCCACAGAGGTGGACAAGTTGATCCTTGTAACTTTTTCCAATTGTGCACATCTAAGATTATATAACAGAGTCCCTACATTTGCAACAGACTCCAAAGACATGATCAACTGTTCTTGCAGTGTTAAAATCAAATCAAATACAGTACTTTTCATGCACCCTTTCCAGTTCTAGATTTATCTGTAACACACAATGACAAGACCTATACACAGACTTTAGAAACAAAACTATTTTTGCAGTAAGTCCTTCAGTAACTCAGTAGGACCTAATAGTTAAGATGCAAATTACTGGATTATCTTTTGCCCTCTGAACATTTAGGATTCTATACTATGCTGCCTCTTCAGAATGTCTGCTTTGAAAATCTCCTGAATTTATAGGAGAAAAATTACCTGGAAATCAATTGCTTCCTGTTTCTACTTGCACACTTAAATATAGCTATTAAGAAGCTCATTGAATACTATAGGACTTAGCAATGTAAATTATATAGCCAAGTAAGTACTCATAGAATGGTACTGATATATTTCCTGTAAAAATTACAAATCTAGTCAATCTTGCTGAAATGTAAGAAACCCACTGAATACTATAGGATTTATCAATATAAAAATATATAGTACTGAACACTGATCTATCTGGAGAGAGAATTACTTATTAGTCAATTGTAAATATATGGCACAAAAAGAAAATGTCATTGTTCCTTAATCTTGATTTCCAAGTATAGAGTTCTTCACATATTTTATTTGGGGATATTTAAAGTAATTGGAAACAGCTTATGCATGAGATGAAACACATCTTGTCTGAAATTTTATAGAAATTAGGGAGGACGGCCTATTTAGCATTGTTTTCCCTCAAATTCTTCAAAAAAGGACTTGAAAGAAACCTTTTTTTAAAAAAGCAACAATCAAGTTTATTAGCAGGACCTGAGAGTTTAGTATCCCAATATTCTCTTTGAAAGGAAATATCTGGCCTTTTGGACACTGGCTCTGCAAGGGCACAAACACATGGTTCCTGAATGTGCTTTGTTTTGGAAAAAAAATCCCTTTTCTTGGGGTCAATTTATCCTAAAGAGCATGGAAATTAACTGAACTCTTCTGGAGTAAGTAGGATAAAGCTATTCATGGCTACAATCCAGTCCATACTTCCTTGGAAATAAAATCCACTGATTTCCTTCCCAATACACATACTGTACCAGCATGTATGTTATACACGTATTTAGATACACAGACACTCAGAGGAAGTGTTAAAATTGATCCACTCGAGATTTGGCTGAAACAAAATGGACTCAGCTGGCAATCGGAATGCAGGGCTAACCTGTGTTCTGCTGGTAAAACCAGAAAGATAGTTTGTCAGTAGCCACTATCAGTGACGGAAGAAGACATTTATTTTACTTGGGAAGATATCTAGAAATCTGGATGGCGAGCGGCGCGTGTGTTTTACCCATCTACTCCAGGTAAAATATCTGCTTTGCAGCGGGACTGGAAAGAAGACATCCCGCGTGCTTAAGCCAACAGAATGCCCAGAATTTAATCTATGCTTTGCTTGCTTGTCAGCAACAGTACCGGGACGGAAGCAGTTTAGCCTGGATAATCACTTGACCCCTCCTGTAGGCGTAAGCGTGATGCTTCTAAAGCGCTCAAGTGTGGGGCAGACGGGAAACCTCGTTCCTAAAGGGTAACTCGCTTGGTAAAGCTGGAGGAGCGGGGGTGGGGGAGGAATCAAAACACCTTCTCGTTCCATAAGTATCCTAATGTCGCCCATTGTTTCAGGATTCCGCTGTGGAACGTTCCCGGGAGGGAAGCATTGTGACGTCAACGCACCTACTAATCCTCCCTGTTGAGGGGGAGCCTGGAGCCATGAGGTCATCGAAGCGGCCAGTGTAACTATCCCGAGAGCAGCGCCAGCAGCAGCAGCAGCAGCTTCAGCGGCGGGGGAGGGGAGCTTGCCCAAGCAAGGCCGCCTGGGATCTCGCAGCCGCACTCCAGCTGCAAGCGAGGCTCGCCGCCGCCGCGAGTTTCTGGCAAAAGCATGGAGGAGGCTGACACGAAAGAGCTGCAGGTCGGCTCCTGGCTGCCGGTGCTGGTGGAGCAAATGGTGAACGATACCCTGGTAGTCACCTTGAGCTGCGGGGAGAGGCGGTTTACCGGGATCCTTCTGGATTGCACTAAAAAGTAGGAGCAGTAATTGCTTTGATGATTATTCTCTCCCCCCCCCCATAGAAAAGAAAATATAATTTCGGGAAAGGAAAGGGGGAATTGTAGCTGAGAAGTTTACTGTCCCCACTAGGCCCTTCTGGAGGGCGAGGACAGAGCAGCTGGGCAGAAGGCGGGATTAGGCCATAATCAGATTAAAGAGTTGCATGGCTCATTGCATGGGGGGAAGGGAGAAAAATCAGGGAGAGGAGAGGAGTAAATGGTCACGTCGATTCTCTCTTTCTCTCTCTCCCCTCCTTTTTTTTTTTAAATAATGACATATTTTAGTTTCATTTTCTGTTCGGAATCCAGCGTGGAAGAAATGTTTCTCTTTCTGAAAAAAAAAAAAGTCAGCTTTCTAGTTTGTGCACTGTACAATCATGTCCTCCTTCAGTGACGTTTTGGAAGCGGAGTTGCTGTCGTGCTTTTCTGAAAAGGCTGCTGAAATGAGCCATATTTTCCTATGGGGTTAGGCCCTTAAAAAAAGGTGTGTCTCTCGCTAGTGGGGGAGGGGAAGGGAAATTATTGTCTTTACCTTCCAGGAACAGACTCCAGAAGATCAGGTCGCCTCCTTTTGCAAACCTTACAACTTTGCTGAAGGTTTTTTTTTTTCTCTCTCCTCTATTTCTTGAGGAGATTTCATTGGTGCGACATATGGACTGCTGCTGATGTAGCACAATAATGTTCTCATGAAGACACATGTTGCCATAATTACAGACTTCTTTGTTTAGGAGATTCTGCACACTTCAAAAAGCTTTTATCTTGAGTTGAAACTGCCCCAGCTTGCCATTTTTTTCCTTTTCACATTCAGCAAGAAAGATGGGCCTCCTTCAGAGAGGGTTTGCATGCCTGAGAAACATAATGCATACATAAATGCAGAGTAACAGCAAAGCTTATTTCCTTTCCTGTTTTGCAGTTCAGGATACATTCACTTATTTAATGAAACACCAGTGCCTATAAATAGTGGTTGAGTTAATAATGTAATACTTCCAAAACTGCATCTCTTTCAGGATCTTTCAAACAAAAGAGTTGCCTAGATTGGCTATTACAGGAGATGTAATAGTTTGATAAAAGTATACAAATAGCTCTATAAAGGCAGAATATCTGAAAAGCTGAAACTTGGCAAGCTGTCAGTGCTAGAAAAATGAATTTAGCCTACTTAGTGGCCTTCTATTTAAAACATTTTCTATTGTTTCCTTTTGAACAATTGGATATAATCTTTCTCCCTGTCCTTGGTATGCATGCCTTCTGTACAAAACAAAATTTCAAATAATCTGTTGGCAGGCAAGATTCCCAAAGCCTGGGGTTGTCTCCTTACCATTGAATTTTCTGAGTAAAAATTATAAATGCCTGCTACCTTTGAAGGCCCCAAATTCATTTTTCTTAATGAGGACTCCATCTTGGTGACAGCTTCTCCATTTCCTCCCCTCCCCCCCCCAGCAACATGCATTCATTAGCCTTTGACAATTATCTGCAAGAATTATCTAATTAGCAGATACGCCAGCATCCATTAACAGTAAACAGATGTAACTTAACATAGGGCTCCTTATAAATCTCAAACAAATATGTTTGTATGTAGACATAAATAATTTTTTTCTGTTTAAAATGTATGATAATATGTTTAACTGAACTGGGAATGCTGTGTTACTCTCCTTTCCTCTTGCCATCCCATTGTCCTGATGGCTAAGTTAATGTTGCTGATGTTGTTAAATAGGCACCAAAGCCTTGCTGCAGCTGTATTGATTTCTTTCTGGCACTTGAGACTGTGAAGCAAATTAAAATGGCATGATGCACTGGGAATTTTTGCATATGAGCAGGTTGCCACAAATTGCAAGGATGCGAAAACTAAGGAGAATTAAAAAAATATCATACTAATTTTCACAGGCCAAATACAAGAAGAATAATTCTCTGCTACATTGTGACTATGAGCTGTGTTATGCCTCTGTATCAGTGTATTCCGTTCTCTAGATGCAGGGCTCATAGATTTGAGAGTCTTTTAAGATTCATATGGTTAAACTCTGTGTGGGACTGAAACAACCAGGGAGTGGGGGCAGAGCCCAAATATGAGTCCTTTTCCTCTCTCCTTATTCTGCAGGAAAAAGTCAGGTAACTCTTATCTAACATCTTTTGCAAGGGTGATTTGAGTTTAAGGTCTAACATGAAGTTAGCCTTATAATGGGCTAAAGCCCTAAGGCTGCAAATTGTGTGCCCCAATTTTAAATGGTGTGAAACCATTGGTCTTGGTAGCTTACTTCTTGCTTACTACTCCAAGGGACAGCATTTTTCTGCATGTAGGAAAAGCCCTTTTTATCACCACTGCTCAGGTCCTTTTATCTGTGGAGTCCCAAGACAAGGCATACCATTAGCCCCTCCCTATGCTATATAAGCAGAAAAGTTGCCCTTGATTTTATACAGTTTTAATGTATTATTACATCCACCATCTTAACTCATTTGACATATTTACTGGATACATAATAGTTTTCCAGAAAAGAAGTTTAAGGAACATCTGTGCTGACATTCCTGGCTTGGCTGGAGAATTGTTTGCCTTTGAGGAGACCTTCCTAAATAAATTGGATCTTTCAGTTCCTTAAGTGCAAGGCTTAAATAGCTTTATCTCATGATTTCTTTTCCAAACCACCCAGACAGTTCAAAAGCTTGATGTGTATCCATTCTGAACATGCTTCCCCTCCTCCTGATTTTTCTAACCTCCGTTGGATCTTTCTATTTGGAAGGATAAGTTGCTTCAAACTAGTTGAATATATTCCTTATCAGACGGTAAAAATGTTTCCATCCAGCTATTTTTAATATTCTAGAGTCACTCTGCCTATTAATATGCAGTATTGAATGTTGATCATGCATTCCCAAATATTCCAGTAAAGCCAGAAGCCTAGATGGTTGCCACAAAACTCTAAGTGCTTTGAAGAAGATGAAAATAAAACGAGGGAGAGGAAAAATCTAAAATAAACAGCATTGAAACAGCTCAGCAGACAGTAAGAAATTAAAGGCAAATTAGAAGGAGGGAGAAAGAGGCCTGGATCATAAATCAATGCAGATGAAAGCAGACTAACAAAAATTGTTTGAAAGGAAGTATCTAGAAAGGAAAATTAAAAACTCAGGAATGAAGAGCTAAAATGTTTAAAGATAACATTCCTGGAAATAAATGTGAAAATGTTAGAGTTTGATTTAGGGAGGAGCTTGTCCTAGAACATTTTTTTAAAAAAGATTTCCAGTTCTGTAGCTGTGTAACAATAGCAGCAAATCAAGATTTGTGAGCCTGTTCCCATCATACTGCTGAAGAAGCCTGAAGTAATAGTTGATCCTTGCATGGAGATGGAACTTCATTTAAAATCAGTTCCTGCACTACCAACACCTTATTTCCAAATATCTTTCTTAACACCACATTCTACTTAAGGGGATCATAGAGGTTCCTTGCAGATGTGTGTGTGTGTGTGTGTGTGTGTGTGTGTGTGTGTGTGTGTTTGTACGTGTTCACATGTGTGCTTCCCCTTTATTACCCACCAGACTGTCCCTTACAGGGTGTGCATACACTCTCTCGCTTGTTCATTCCCCTTCCTTTTAAGAAGCTGTGAGCAATTTTGCTGGGAAGAGTGTCAGCCTTCTTCCGTCTAACAATCTATTGCAGATTGCTGGTTTTCCATCATGAGAAAGGGTGACTTCAGGCAGTCATGGGAAAGGGGGGATAGGAAGAGAAAAAGGTGCCCTCCCTCTCAGCAATACTGCTCAGTCTTTTTTCCTGCCTGCTAATTGCAGAGGGAAACAAATGATCTTAAGCTGGGTCATTGAAAGGAAAGAGAAAGCAGCAAGGTTTTATAGCCCTGCATCCAGCTCCTCTACAAGCTGCTGGTTTTTCATTGGGCTTAGCAGGAGAGAAATTAGGGAAGTGGTCTCTGTTAGCCAGCTGATTAGCTGGCTCCTGGGAGAAGCTGCTAGTGCTTTGTATGCCAGGATAAACTACTTTTTTGGGGGGAGGGGGGAGGTTGATTTAGGACTAAATATATCTTGCTTCTCCATGCTTTAGTGGGCTTTTTTTCTTTTTGATAAAAATTCAGAGACGGAGATTAATTGATTTTCTGTAGGCTTGAAGTATGGGTGTGTTGTTGATTCCAAAAGAGAGGGCTTTGTCTTTCGGGTGATTTAATTATGCACAGGAATGTTTAAATTGCATTTAGCTAATAGTAACTGATATTAGAACAGGGGTTCTCAACCTTGGCAACTTTAAGACTTGTGGACTTCAACTCCCAGAATTCCTCAGCCAGCTTTGCTGGCTGAGGAATTCTGGGAGTTGAAGTCCACAAGTCTTAAAGTTGCCAAGGTTGAGAACCCCTGTATTAGAAGGAAGCTTTTTGAGTAGGCTTTAAAAAAAAGAAGCTTTTCAGTTTCTAACCATTCTGGATCTCTCCTGGTAGAGAAATTTGCATCTGATGTTGCTTTCCCATATAGTGAGATTCCATCTCTGGCTGTTCTTTCATATTTCAACGGTGATTAAGAATGAAATAAAATTCTGCTTATTTATATATTGTTCGGGACCCAGAAGACACGAGTCTGCTCCTATGTCAGCTGCTATTTGTGATGGATTTCTTGATCACAATAAAAGGGCTCAGGAGGGAACAGCAAGTTCTCCTTTCACAAGTGCATTGATACAGAGCAGGTGCGGAGGCTGCGCCCCCCCCCCAGCTCCGGCAATGCAAAAAAACTTGTGATATGTTGCGACACGTCATGTGATGTGGTGAATTTGATACCCATGATATAGAGGGTACTAAGAACCCGGAATTTTGTCTGCTGCAACAGAGATTTCTGTTTCTGCCTTTCTTCCAACTTCAGGGTAATCCTCAACTTATAACCACAACTGGGACTGGGACTTCCATTGCTAAGTGAGGCCATAATTAAGCAAGTCATGCCTGATTTTATGACCTATTTTAGCACAGTTCTTAAGTGAATCACCATAGTTAATCTGTGGT